GGATTTAAATAAAAGAGTGTCAATATTCTGGAATTTATTAAAATTTATTCAATTTATTTTATTATATTAAATAATCTTCTTATTAAACAAAAAGTTACATAATACATAGATTGTAAGATTATTAAGATTCAGAAATAATTTTTCATATATAAAAATCACTAAATTTACATTCATTGAGGGATATCGTTAAGCAAGCGATATTGTAATACGCTTCTGCCACGCAACCAGCTAAACCAGTTGTTGCTCTTTCATCGGCTTTAATAGAAACTTAAAATGCTTTTAATTCATTACTTAATCTTACTTAAATTTTGTTGAACACATATACATATACTTTTTTGATATCTAGAATTTTGTTTTGATATCTAGCATCCATTTTTTAAAAGTGTCTCATATTTTTATGAAAAATAAAAACCTAACATATATCTCTTCAAAAATCAACCTTATTAATTTTATTTATAAATTTTTTGATTTCAATTCAATTTCAAACGATACGAATAATATTCAATTTAAAGAAAAAAATAATTTAATGTTATAAGTACGCAAAAAAATGATATGATATAAATCATGAAACTAATTTGGAAAAAATTATGATATAAATAATGTACAAAATTTTTGCTTTTTTTGAGAAATACGATTAAATTTATGATATAAGAAATAAATAAAAAAAAACTGAAGCGTAACGATTAAAATGTAATAAAAATGTTTTTTTTTTATTTATTTTATTTTTATTTTACATTCATTATACGAGAAATTTCGAACACTCGTAGTTTGCATTCATTTGTAAACATTTGTAAGAAAAATTTTGATCAAAATGAAATTTTCTCTCAATTAAAAAATTAAAAAATTAAAAAACAATTAAAAAATAATTATGCGATATAAATAGATTTTCGATTAATCCTAATGGTATCGCAATGAACAATAACTAATAACATTAAAATATTAAGAATTCAAGAAACTGTATAAAGAATATTTAATTGAGAAATTATTAACAAGAAGAACAAACAAAATAAGAAACAGATATCAAAATGAAGTATAGAGTAATAATAATTTTTTATTTCAATACTAATATATTTA